TAACCGGGCAGCAGGGCCCTGGGCTCAGCCAGGGGAGGAGAGGGGAGTTCAGCCCAAAAGGCCGGTGCTGCTGGGGTGAACGACACTGAACTCGGGTCCAGAAGTCACGACACCAGAGTTTTATTTTCTTTTAGAACTGCTTTCCTTCGCTCTCAAACAATAAAATTCATGTGGAGGGGTCGGAGCTCATCCCGCAGTGGCCGAAACAGGAAGACGAGGGGGAGGAGGTTTGGCCATCAGACAGGAGGAGATAGGAGCGTCTGCAGCACCTGGGTCCATTCTAATTGACTTGGAGCGCAGTGCATCCACTTTTTAAACAAAGTGACTCTCACTTGAGCTTCATTATATGCGCACCCCATTTCCATAGGCCTCTGGGAACGAGACCTGGGCTGCTCACATAAAATAAATGACCGCTCCATGATAAATGGTTCTATTAGCAATCCAGATTGTTAAACTGTGATATAACAGATCGGAGAGGGGCGCAGGGGCCCATTCATTTTCCTCCCTTCTGCACACACACCCCGCTGCAAATAGCTTGTTTTTTATGTGTAAATAACATATTAAAACTCGGCATTAGCCATGTCCTTTGATAGAGAGGAAATTGTTCTAAATAAATAACATGGGATGGGAATATAAAACAGGGCGGGTTGTTACACAGCTCAGAGGTGGGCATGACTTAGGTGACAGGAATTCTGCAGCCAACAGTAAAACATACGCTGACAATAAAACTGCAGCCGTATATTAGAATTGTCTAGTTTTCCCGCAGCTAGTTTGTTTGGGAATAAGCTCTGGGTTCAAGGACCCGGTCTCATCTGCCTCCCTCTCATGCCGCATATTCACTTATCAGGAGCTGGCAACAGGAATAATAACGCATATTACTACGATAAGTAATTGCTCTGTCTCGACGCCGTGGCAGACGGCTGTGGTTTTTAGCTCTGAGGCTCGAGCCTCTTCGCTGATATCTGGTTGGTCAGGATGGGAGCAGGCGGCGGCTGCAAATCCAAGCTTCTTGTTTATTTTAAGATTAAAATACAAGGCTCTTACATGGAACTGATAGGGAGGAAGAATTATGGAGGGACTTTTTATTTTCTGTGTGAGAAGATTAAAAACTCAGCAGCTGATATTGAAAATAGCCGTATATAAATATACATGCAGGTGGTTGTACTGAAGTTCAAATGATGCTATAGTTAAGGTCAAAGGAGGGAGATTCATGTAAAATGACTTTCTGTTCAGCAAAGATGAAAATGGAGCTGCTTTTTTCATTGTCACACAACAAAAAGATGCTTTATAGTCGACTCCACAGGCAGTTTTCTAGCCTTCACTCAAAACAAGGGTCTTAAATAAAGATTAAATGAGAAATTACAACAGTATTAACTTTACAAAATCAGAGGTTTCAAGATCAAAATAGCTTGAGAGATAAAGTCATAATATGAGAAAAAAAACCTGTTATATAAAATTACTGCGTTATTCTCAAAATATGGCAACTTTTCCTTCTCATTTTTTTTCCAATTTATTCCAACACACCCTGTTGTAAAGTCCAGTTTTATAGTTTAATATCTGATAAACCTTCATGGAGGTGTTACCCAAAAGGGACTCCAGTCCAGCCCCAGCTTGTGCATCTCATGTGTTACATATGCTTCCATTAACGTGTGAAATTGAACCTTGCCAACTGTTTTAAACCCCATACCATCATTGTGACAACACTCACCCAAATTCTGAAGGTATTTCCCGAATCCTCATATAAACAAAGATGGTGAAAGGAAATGATGTTGTCACTCTGGCTTTGTGTGAAAGAGGCTCAGCTTCACAAAAACTGCGAGAGAGATGATGCCATCTTTTTTAAACTGAAAACAAGTTGTTTTACCCAAGAAACTGGTAAAACTTTGATTTTTTTTCCTGGACTGGAACGGATTAGTGTTTATTCCGCACGGTTAGAAGAGTCTATGGGCATTTGGGTCAGGGTGGTCAAACGACATCATGGGGTTAACACGGTCGGCAAGTTTCGCAGGTTAAGGGAAGATTGTCTTTGTGGCTTCCAACTCAAGTGCTGTTTTCAGTCTGAACACGATGTTACTTATCCTGCACATTTTACTTACATCTAACAATTTCCACTGCGACTAAACAGTAAAACATCCTGGA